CTTTCTTTGCTATTTAAATTTTAGTGTTATTTTAATGATTCACCCTCTTATTAAACTACTATTTCTCTGTTATTACCAGTCTATTAAGTATAATTGTAATTTAAAGTGAGTGATTCTGATTTGTTCAAGATCTAGTTTGCATTTCAAGCTTCATACATACACAAAGTTCTGTCACTAAGAAAACGAAAAACATGGAAATCGTTTAAACACATTTGTGGCTGTCTAGTAATAGGTCAGTGGACAACACATTATAGTTCCAAGTAAAAGACACTGGGTGTGACGCTGAATCGGAACATCGACATAAGGATTATCTACATTTAGTATCAACTAGGAGAGATCGCGCGTCCTGGATTCCAGTTTTGTTTATAATCCATCTATTCAAAGAATTATAATTTATTTTTTATAAATAATTACTAAATTTTATACAACAACCAGATCCTTAGATAAATTTAAGTAGACGAATAAAAACAAGGATTGTATAATAAAAAATGAGTTCATTCCATTTCGTAGTTTTGCATCAGCTGTATACAACCCGCATTATTACATTCCAACATTTGAATACACATAGATCTTAACTATAAAGATATCCATACACTGTGTGACCTGTTCCTCTTATGATTATAATGTCGGTTACATTTATTCATACTTAACAAATTAAAGCAACTTAGATATTTGTTAATAGTTCAATTGATAACTGTAATTTCAGATTGTATGCAAATCAATAAGAAGCTGTGAAATAGAATGAATTGGTATTAATCTGTAAACAGTGTTCGTCAAAAGACTATGTATATTTAGAACACAAAATTGTTAAAAAGGTACGTTTATAAATACCCAATATTTGCAAAGATTCAAAATAGGCTCGCAAAGCAAACTAAAGTCAACTATAGAGTGCTCAACAATTATTTTATATTATTTTACAACTACTCTTCAGTATATACATACAAAATCATATGGGATTATAAATGGAACCGAAATAGTTCATTACCTATAAGAGAATGTATCCAAAAAATCCAACTTCAGGTAATTTGAAACAAAGTAAAAACATGTGTTTAGTCGACTGAGTAAATAATTTAGGATTAATCAGCTACATTTCACAAAAGGATTAGTTAACTTTTGATTTAAATAGCAAGTTATTAATGAAAAAACAGAAATTTTATTTGGTTCATCAGAGAGAACTGTAAGCAAAGTTCAAGTAACATTTCATGAATTGATAAAAATACAGTTATGTATAACAGTAATCTTTACTTTGAAACCTTCGCTAACATTTTCATTAGCACAGTTGACTGAAAGGTTTTTGTGGTTTTCTGAGCTACTTTAAATTATTAGATTGAAAATTTCTATCCAGTCTACTGAAATTCAGTCAGAACAATGGAGTAGTATTTTTTAGCTCTCGTACAATAATGATGGGTTATTGTGAAATGCACAAATCTATAATTAGTCATGTATAACTCTGTATCAAGGGACTGACTGATAAGATGTGTTTGAAAAAAAAAACAAGACATACTCATTTAATTTATTCAATTTTTGTATTTCATCATAAAATTATGTCTATTTTTTTTCGAATATAATAGAATTAGTTAAAATTATTTTGACATATCGCAATTCTGTTTAAAATGCACTTAACTCCTGCCGGATTTTCCATGTACTCATACACACATACAAAACGTACTTACTGTTTTCAGTCATTATTCTGTATCATTTGGAGATTTATAATAACGGATGAATTAAATCTAGTGACCTTCAAGATCTCTTGACTTTTGATCTTTCTTTTTTGTAATCGAACCACAAGTCCACTACAGAATTCATAGTTTCCAAAGTGCATAAAAATCTGTCTTTTTGATCAATCGATTTGATAGGCAATAACTCAAGAAGTACAGTTATATTAACCTTTAAAATTTGAACTATTATTATGCTGAAATCTTGAATACTAAACCCTTATTAAAATGATAATGATTTATGAAAGGAAACCATATTTTAAGAATTGATTTTTTCTGAATAGATGTTTCTTCAGACATTGATTAGTTAGACAACTGGAAAAGACTAACTAATAGAGTGCCTCTAACTGAAGTTATCTTGTTTATTTCATGTGTTGGATCTGGGGATTAATTTCCAGATTGTATTTTTATTAAGCCGATTGATTTGATTTTGGAAATGAGTTTTGTTTTGAGAAGAAACATTAACAATAAAAGGAAACTCTTTCAATAGTTTTCCAGATAGATTCACAGCATAATGAAAATAATTTAAAAATTAATTTGTCTTTTAAACCGTTATAACATTAATGATTAATGGGAAACGAGATGTCCAAGTAATGCTTACCAATTCGATTATATTGACAATTTGTCTCATCATAAAAATTCGATTATTACAGACCTATCAGACTAATTTAACTTGATGAGGTAAAATATTTTATACTGTCAAAGGAGAATGTCTAATAAGTACTGATAATACAGTTACAATCTAGTATGCTAATTAAACTCTAAATGTGATTAATAAATTAAACACTACAGTTGTCAATATAGTCATTGGGTTTTTAAAGTGAAGTAAAAAAGTAATGTACGTTTGCTGATCTGAATAAATCTCCAAAATTAATTTATGAGATATACTAATTTCATTAAACAATGGTAGAAAATTTGAACAAATAGTTGTTATTAAAAAAAAAAAAACTTGACCATCCCAATACTCTCAACTGTGATTTCATATGTTCATATATTTACTGAACATTAATAAAAGGATGATTATGTTTGTCAAAGAAACGAATAACTTATGATAATTTCTTAAACTTATGATGATCCGATAGAAACCAAATGGAAATGACTGAATAAAATTACACATTCACACATATAAGACAATAGTTAACAATGATAAACATGCATCAATGGTGATAGGTTATATATGGTAACTTGTATACCCTAGTTATTTGCTCATTTTGTCCGAAAGTTTATAAACTCTCATTTTTCAGTGATATTTATGTCTTTAGGCACTTTGAAGGACAACTTATTCATACTTCAATCTCAAGTGATTCAGCCCACTAATTAGTATACATAATTAAAACTATAAATCTAAGTTTTCCAATCTGTTATCACAAAACAAACAGTACCAAGCTTCATCTCGAATGACTAAAGTAAGTAACTACAGTGTATAATGAATCTGGAGTAACTATCATGAATGATAAATGATAGTAAAAGTAAATGACCTATCAGTGTTGATCCGACCAAAGTTCTTCATGCAGGTGATTGAAGTATAACTTTTCATCCCAAATGATAACCTCGAAATGTCTGTTCATTTTAAAGTCGATTAATCACTTTAGGAGAAATTGTTTACTGAATTACTTTTTTGATCGATTCATCTGATAGTTTATTTCATATCACTTAAATGATCTATCGTCTATTTTGTACTCCATTACATTTATGCTGCTGTTTGGCTTAAACTGACTATCGAAACAAAGTGAAGCATAACATGAATAGAAATAGTTTATCGTAAGATTAATATGCAGCTTTTTGTAGATATCAAACAGCAATCGATATAGAGTTCTGAACAATTTGTTCTGAACGTCATCAACTGAGGCTAAGTGATAGACTGAGCGAAACTAGACAGACCACATGATATATCAAGTCTGCAGGAACGATAAAACGTAAATGTGGGCTGGCTATTACAGTTAAGTGGACTACTGACCTAATCAAGGTCACCTTTACATTTTATCTGAGTCAGTCCGTTCACGTATAAATGTGCATGAGATAAGAGAAACATTACTAGGCTTGTAACTTAGTCCAGAAATTCAAGCTTCAGAAGTTTGAATAATAACTCACTTGAAGTTTAGACCATATCAGAACTCTCTGATTGCTAATCTTTAGATTTTAATTCATAAATTCATATCTTATGTATGAACTAATACGTTAGAAGTATCCTGTTTAATAATACCGGCTATTCCTTAATCATATGATTTACTATAACAGCGTGGTATTATGTTTCATACTCCAAAACTGAGATGTGTTTATTCAGATATCTTGTGTTACATCAATATCACAGGAGTTAGAATCACTCATTCTACCTTGGTGATGCTCAACAAGCCAGGTCTAACGGACATCTTCGACCATATAGCAGGCAGTAACCTAACGAAAATATTTTGTGCGCTTAATTGTGGCTTACAACATCTATGAATAGAGCACTTACGCCGGCAACGAGATACGTAATTCTTAGTATACGAACCAATATTGATGTTTTCCTCCTTTTTTATCAGCACCTATTATTAAAACTAGCCGGCAAGTCCAACTTGAATGAACTAATCTTAAATAATATGCCTTTTAAAGCAGGTGCTGTCTGCTATATGATGTTTTCGGAGCTAAAGGTGGGTCAAGGTCAGTTTCAAATATATGCGTAAGTGATAGACAGACATATCTATAGATAAAAAATCAGAAATGTCCTAAATACTGGAATACAAGGGCAATAGAATTTTGAAGAACCAATCATATGATGATGACCTCATTATTGCCAATGCCATAGAGTTAGGCGTCGACCTGGTCATGCATAATTTCGCCTTCGCGTCATAATATCTACTATCCAATCTGGATTCCGAAATAATTGACCAATCAGGGGCTAGATCACGACCTGGATTATATGAAAAATATGATGCAAGGACAATTCGAGATAGATCTCTCCCCCTAAGTGTCTGAACACAATCTAAAGAAGAAATGGCCTCAACAAATAAATACACACAGTGAAAAACATTGTTTATGTCCTAATCTTATTTGAAGCACGATCAAACATCTGTCCACCTGGCAATTGGATACTTACTATTTGGAATGACACAATTATTGACCATGCTTTCAGCTGACTGAAATGATAGTTTTTTTAAAACTCAGTCTTATGTAACCCAAGATAACAGCGTTTATTCAATGACCTAGTTTGTGGATCAATATAACCACGAGGAATTCCATAGTGGATTTTCAGTGTACGATGAAAAGTCATGTAAAGCGCCTGAAAATATAAATAATCTAAGAAGAATGTTCCTTTTACGGTAAGAAACCATTTTCCCGTATATTGTAAATGGATGGTTCTTATTTTCCGTGTTTTTTGATGCTTTGCTGAAATTCTTTTTTTTGACTGTCATTTATCTACCTCCTTGTATATTGAAAGAATCTATCCACAACTATTAGTATATCTTATTTATCAAAGCGGTTTCTATATGAGTGAATTAAATCCTTAGTCATGTTTAACATATGAATGTAGTACTTAGCGCTGACAGCATGAAATGCATTAAATGGGCTTGAACTGTTGTCTAAACCATAAATGATTGATTGTCCACAACGTTGTTGATCAGTAAGGCTAACATATTTTGCATTTGATCTATATTTGTAATTTTGTTAAAGTGATCATAGATATTGTTCGATTAACATACTTAAACAACTCAATAAATGAATTATCGTATACAAGTCCAATATTTAGTTTCTATAAATGTTTTGTTTTACTGCAATATATTCTTTAATTGTTGATCAACATTTTGTTACGATTGATCTGTTTAATCTATAATCATATTTTCGCTTCGGTTTTGCATCAGATGTTTATCACGTTCAAGAGTCGCATACATATTTAACCCCTATTAGATGTAAGTCATGCTTTGAGCAGCAGTTTTCGATCGTCAAAAAAATATCCTCATACGATGTAAAGTATATTACAAATCATTATTAAAAGTGAATTTAATCTATGGAAACAGATACTACAAGAAAAAAGTCACTAACTCTGCACGCGCTACAGCACAAGCAGCTGATTTGTTAGGAAATCAAAGTATGTAGATGGTATTATTGTTTAAGCCATCTGCAGAAAAGTGATTTAATGGTATATTCATTTTCATTAACAAACCAAAAAGAAACGTATAAACAGTAGCTTTATGAAATTATTTCTGTTAAGCTGTCTACATCGCATAAATATGAAATAAAAGGACGTACTTTAGCTGTTCTATAGTTTGGAAGAAACACAGAAAACATCGTTCTGCTTTAGTAACACTACGAATTTTAAAGGGAGCTAAAATGACTCAAAACACTTACACCGATGTATTTATAAAAGATGTAAGGAACTGTGAATTTTCATTAACTGAGTTTAACGCCTTCTGAATCAAGTGTTCACTAAAATAGTATATATTAAAATAGGTTATTTATACAATTATTCCTTGTAGATTTGTTTGATATTGAATTGGGTTTTTCATGTCATTCCATTTTCACTATCATTATATTTCGGTATTTTAAATCTTTATTTATTTACTGTATATTTGCGAATCACTGTACCGTCTCGAATTGCCACTATTTTTATTGAATATCTACAACGTTCTTTTCATTTTCGAGCTGTTAGTTACAATAATTATTTGAATAGATCTCTTGAAGAAGTGTTTATAAATATATTTTTGTTAATAGTCCACTGGTTAATGTTCAGGATCGTTGGTTTTATTTGTTTCGACCTTCATCAATATGAAGTCTTTGTGAATGTCTGAACTTATAATCAGTTGAAGTTTAATTTGCTAATTATTATCATAAGACAACGTTTCTCTTTATTGTGTACACGTAAGTCAAAGAAATTCACACGTTAAACTAAATCACGTGGAGTGTCTTAAATTAAGTTTTGTCATTCAAATATTTTCTTGAAGCTACCTTCAAGTTTGGTGACTGTATTAGTTTTGGGGTTTTCTCAATATCAGGTTTTAAAACAGATTATTTGATATTTAGTGTTATTATTACTATTACTAACATTATGAAACCAGTTCTTGCTCCAGAAGTAAGTAGTGTTTTTATAGACAGATGATTTCGCAATTCCTTAAAGAGAAATAGTTGATATAAAAACTAGAATAGATAACATGGATAAATAGTTAAAAGAATAGATAAACCCTTAATTTAGTAGTGACACTGTGTGGAGCTATAATTCTTATCAGTTTGAAGATGCTCCTCTTAGTAATGCCTCGTCGGTAATGTACTGTTGACAGCTTTCACTCACTGCATATAGCGAGTATCCATAGTTGATGAGTTACATTTATTTTATAACAGTTTCCCTCACACATGAAATTCAACTAAATAATTTGACTTGGTGGTAAGGGGTTCGCCTACAATGCCGAAGGTCCCGGGTTCGAATCCTGCGGGGAGCAGGAGTCGTGGATGCGCACTGCTGATGAGTCTCATACCAGGACGAAACGGCCGTCCAGTGCTTCCAGGTTTCTAATAGTAGTCTAACAATGATTGATTGGTGATTTCAAATGTGTAAGAACGCAAACCTCCAAAACTCTGCCCCAAAATAAAGATTTTAGTGAGGATTGGTGACTTCATGGACTAAAATAAATGGGGCGCGATTGGTTAAACGGTGAATGTTTTGATCAACATACTACCAGTTGTTTGCTCTGGCTCATTAATAAACTTGGATTTCTAACTAGTAGTTTTATGAAGGGTCAGTAAATATTGAGATCAGGTTCTGTTGTTTGATTTTACCGGAAGATTATTTTGTAACTTTGATGTTTCATCTTATCCATCTCCATAGTTAGATGCGAAACATTCTACACACTTCGGAAGTCATCAGTGAGACTTAGTGATAATTAAAATTACACGAAGAGTTCATTTGAGAAAACAGCAGTCAACTATGAGGGGTTAAAAGACAGTTAAAAATTTGGTATTTTTATAATATTTGAACCAATTGGAAATGGTTCTCCATTCTTGTCAAGAAATTTTAGCCATTTTTAGTACTTGGAATTTGTCTACATGTGTCAATAAAATTACTAGGATTTGACGAAGTGTATTCATTTCAGTCATATAATCTATCTAATTTAAACACTGTTGATATAAAACTAACTACAACTCTAAATAATCGTGAATTGATTTGAGGTCATATTACTTATTAATACTTGGATAGTGATGACCGTCTGCTGAAACTACGCTCAGATAATCGCCTATTTCTAGCAAACACTAACTTTAAGCACAAGGAAATACATCTCGACCTGGCGACCTCCAAATTCGTCCCAAAGCTTTGACGCAACTAGATGACATCGCCATCAGCCACCGATGGAGGAGTTCTACGGACTGTCGCTTTTTCTGGGGAACATATTTAGAACCAAATCATACTCTAGTGCGATTACGTATTTGTTTACGACTTACTGGACGTAGGAAAAACACCGCAAGAAACCTATTGAGGTTCTACTTAATGATAACTTAGCAAAGATAAAAACCTATCTCGGAAAACGATGGTTTTATTATTCGTTCACAATCAAGGAGATTGGATCGATTGGCAGAACACTTCAGGGATCAGTTCAACTGGCCTTCAGCCACACTTCGGTTGTCCACGACCTCCAGTCATCCTAAATCACAAATCCATGTAAGTCCTCTGACTCATTATGAAGTTGAGAAAACGGTAGGAAATCCTAAGTGAGGGGGAGTAGCAGGTCCTGATAGGCTTACATCTCAGAGTTTTAAGGATAGTGGCCCAGTTTTAACAGTTGGATTGACTGAGATCTTATGTAGAATCTGGGAGCTTTGCGTAATCCCATCCAATTGATCTCAATCCATGATTGACTCAGTCACAGAGGAATCAGTTGGACTAATATAGTATCAAAAATATCGGCCTCGATAATACTCTGGCGCTTAACGAAAGCTCGTGAAGAGTAGACTAGAGAAAACCAGGCTGATTTTCGACCTGGATGTGGATGTATAAACCAAATATTCACACTACGTCAGGCCGTAGAACAAAGACACACGTTCATACGCCCACCCCATTTGACTCTGTCGATCGTGAGGTTCTGTGGCAGTGTCTGTCATTGAAAGGTGTACCAAAGAAGTACATTAACCTCATGCAAGCTCTCTACTCGAACACAACTGTTCGAGCGAGAGCTTATGGCAAACTGTCATCGGAACTGATTACTTCAAATGGTATCTGTCAGGGATGTCCAATTTCTCCGTTCTATTTAATTTTGTCATAGACATGCTTCTAGATGTAACATTATATTCGTCTGAATTTTCAGAGGTTGACCTTCTACTACGCTACTCGCTTGCTGATTTAGAATATGCCGATGACATAGTTCTACTTGGTGAAGATGCTGACAAAATGCAGAGTCTTCTGACAACCCTAAGCAACAATGTAAGCATGTTCGGGATATGCTTTTCCCCGTCGAAACGCTAAATGGTTTCATCGGCACCTAAACTAGTGATAGGCAGTGGAATAGTCGAGCGTGTAGACCGCCTCACTTATCTCGGGAGTCTCATCAGTGCCGATGGCCTGGTGACTGACGAAATCTCAATGGGGATACAGAAAGCTCGATTGGCTTTCGCCAACCTGCGTAGGAGAGACATATGTTTGCTAACGAGTGTACTGTACTGCACAGCAGTTCGATTCGTCATACTATATGGATACGAAACATGGCAAGTCAGAGTAAAAAATATTAGAAGGTTATTAGTATTCGATCGTCGATGTCTTAGAAGTGTTGATCATGTATCGTTGGACAACCAAGTAAGCAATGCTATAGTTGGGAAACGAGTACTAGGTAAGGATGGCAGATCAATAGATGAAGTATTGAAACTTCATCAATTGAGGTGGTTTGGACATATGTTACGAATTCCCAACCACCGAATGCCTGGACGAGCTATGTTTTGTTGTGTAGGAGTAGGTTGGAAAAAAGCTAGGGGCGGCCAAACCAAAACATGGCGGAAATCCATGAAGTCACTGACAAGTGTACTGAGTTATGTTGGTAGTTGTCAACTACCTGGTTGGTCCCATGAGATGACAGTAATCGATGGTTAGAGACCCTGAAAGACATGGCTCAAAATCTTCTGTAATGGCGCTGGTGCATTCATTCATTGTGTTCCCTCAAATCGTAACCTTCCGAATTCGTCATCACCTCTATCGTTCTCTGTTTTAAGTTCATTTCACTGGATTAAACTTCCTGAATAATATCTTCGAACACTAATCTTTCCCATTACCACTACTAGTTTATGTGGTAAAACTACTGGAAAGAGATTATAATTTGGTTTTTTGTGATGTATTTTGGTATCAACATAGAACTGCAACTTAATTAATTAATCACGTTGTTGGCATTTATTATTAATAGGACCTTCAGTTGGTTGATAACTTTCGTATTACCTACACAGGCATATCTCCTCACCCAGCTAAGGTTCATTTACCTTACAGTGCCAAAATTGTGTACAAATTTTGATAAAAGCATCAGATTTCTTGAAACTAGTTGAAAATTATTCAGCATCGTTTTACGCATTATTTAATCTTTTTCTTCAGTTTGACAAAAGAGTACATTAAAAATTTTTGAATGGTTTTAAAGGTTAAATTAAACCTTAACACTAAAGAGTTACACACTTCAGTTTTGTTGCATCTAATTTCAAGGTTGTAATTGTCGAATTGTACTCATTGTCTACCCGTATTTCAAAGTCACAACTGTGTTAACGATTTCAATCAAACGGTAAATGAACAAAATAAATAAATGCTAACAATTAAAATTATTTCAATTTATTTTATTTAATATAAATTACAATCCACTATGTTTGAGATGTGTATAAGATTTAAAAAAATATATGACTCTATTTTGATTTTTTATCCTTGTACTTTAGTAAAAACAACTGTTGCTCTCTTTGGTACATAATCTTTTTTGTTGAAAAAGTGCAACTTAGCAGCTATCGAATGGTTTTTTTCCTAGTTAAAATCATGAAGTGATCTAAGCTAAGACTTCATTAGAAACCGTGAAGCGTTGAACGGCCGTTTCTTTTTGGTATGGGGTTCAGTAGTGCGCATCCACCACCTCCACATACACGGATTTATACCAGGACTTTCGGTCTCGCGCGCGAACGTCTAACGTCTAAACCACTGGTTTGGCAGCCGATGGTGTTAATGTTTAACTTCAATAAATAATTGGTTTTGCGCAACTCCATCCATTGTCTGTGACAATATCTGTCTCCTCCCCGAAACGAATTGAAATCCTCTGATCACGATTTTTGGTTGAAAGCACTGACCCAGTGGTTAAATTAAACAGTTTTTAATCATTGTATCTTTGGTGAAAAACCTTTTCCGGATAATTCAGTCTTTATACTTGAACAGCATCAATGATCCACATACGAAAGACGTGGCTGATATTCGAATGTAAAATCCTTTATTTATTTAATTAAACAGTTTTTGTCTCCTGTTTTTCAATCAATTTAATGATTATTCACTGAAATAAAATCTGAGGTTATTGAAGTGTTATTTAAAAAATCATTCCTTTTTAAATATGAATACATTTAATAAGTTCTACTGAAAATAAATAAAGGTTGAGTTGCCTAATTTTGAATTTCTTGTTAGTCTAATAGAAATCAATTAAATTTTTTCAGTACAGTAGTTGTATGGCGACTGTTCAAGTACATAAATGTCAACTGTTGGGTTACATGTTTATAAAATAAATCTGTTTATTTTCTAATAGGAATAATCTTGTGGTATTGTTAGCTGTCATACGGAAATCCTGATTAAAGGCTTTATGAATAATCTTGAACTTAGTAAATCAGTTACATTATTTGGTCTTCAGCTCACAAAATAAAAGACAAATTACATTATATTTTGGATAATTTAAGAATTGGATTATTCAGTATTTATTTAAATGGGATTTCAGATAACTGTTTACGTATTTCTGATAAATTCCATACCAGGTTAAGATAAAACTGCCATTTGGTGCTTCCCAGTTTTCAATGACGGTCTAACATTGATTGAATGAAATTCAATAATTTTCACAACCCAATACTGGATAATTTAAGTACGGAAACTGCTGTTGTTTCTTTCATCAATTTAGTTAGATTTTACCATCTACTAATTGCATAAATGTTCAAATGAATTTACTTATATATTTTACACATGTTCCAATTAAATAATGATTACTAAAACATTGCCTAATGATCTTCTAACAACTGTCTGGAAATAATCTTGTCAATTTTGTTTGGAGTTTTCTGAATTATTGTTAGTGAAAACTGAGTATTTTTTGTAAACCACTGAAACGTTTGAAACTTAAAACACTAACAAATTAGTATAATTGTTTGTGTCCCCTCAATAGTGTTTAGTACTATTTTGTATTGATTAATTTAGATGACAGATCATACCACTTTTTAGTCTTAAAAGGGTTCAATCTAAATTACATCGATAATATTGTCTTCATTTTTAGGATTGCAGAAGCTCTTGTGACAAGTGAAGAATCACATGTGGCGTTATCGAATGCTTCCGAAAATGAAACTGCTGAATGTAAACACAATGTCCATAAGTTTTCAGAAGAACTGTCTTCGGAAGTTGACAAGTCGTTATCTTCACATATACCCGATGCAACTTTAAATAATCAACCGGTGTTTGAAGGGAGTGAAAAATTATCCAGGATTCGTTTAAGTCCTTCCGTTGATTCTTCTGTACCTAGTCCAACATCTGCTCCTACTAAATTTGTGCAGTCTAGAAGTTCAAAAATTAACCCTTACCCATCTGCTTCGTTAAACCCGGTAAATTTTAATACTATACATCCTTCTAAGAAGGTTCATCAGGGATTATTATATAATTTGCTCATTTCCAAAGAAACTTCATCACAAAATTCTACATCTAAACCTTCAATATCTATTTCTCCCGGTCAGTCATTCATGGAAACTCTAGATAATGTGAGGGCAGATAATCTACTTTCTGACTCGTCGATGTTCAGGAATTCCCATCATGCTGATACAAACTGTTATTCCAATTCAACTAAAACTTCTGCAGTTTATTCTAATTTTCGTCATCGGGCAAATTCTCTTGGTTGTAAACTTTCTAATAATCGTCCATATACTCGACCCCATGCTTCATCTGTTGGTGCAGCTTCTGACTTTTACCCTAGTCTTAAAGCCCGTTTACAACAACGTCGCCAAATGGAAGAATCGACACTAGATTCAATTTTTTCAAAACCAAAATATACATTATATCATCGAGCACTTTCAAGGTCACATGAAAATGCAATGAACGTTTCACATATTGATACTCGTTCTCATAGTTTAAGCGCTATCTTACCTCAAACATCTAGTGTATCCTCATCCGGTGTATCTAGTCCCCGTGTTCCACCTCAAAATTTGGCATCTCATGCCAGAATGACGACTCCTTCGCCCAGTGTCACATCTCAGAGTTCAGGGTTTAGTTCAGCAAGCCTACAAAAATCACCTCAAACCTCTTCACTCTCCAATGATTCTGGATCTGACGAACCAATTGATCTCACTGGCTACTCTGTACCCATATCACCTGTTGCAAATACATTTGTTTCACCTAATATTACTCCCGGTGCTAATAATGTGCAGAATGGAAATTATCCCTATGTACAGCTAGCTAAGAAAACTGCTCGTCCGGTGCAAGCACGAATCACTGAGTGGTTACGACAGATTACTGAGTTTGTAGCTCTATCTACACCTCTTGTTTCTACATTGAAGCCTAAATTATGGACTGTTGATGATTTACCGAAGCAAATATACCATTTGAATAACAAGAATGTTGTTTTTCCTTGGTTATCATTACTTGCACAGTGCTGGCAAAAACTTTTGGCTTTGAGTATGGTTGAGAATTCTTTGGATGTTGTTGTTGTTGAAGACAAATCACCTTATGAAGAAGATCATCAATATCATGATCCTGTAAACTTGGAAATCCCATGGTCTTTGCTCCTAGATATACAAAAGTATGGAGAGGCAAAAAACAAACGACCGGATCGGAAGTTCGCCAACGAGCTCCTTCAATTTTTGTCAGAAATACGTCAAGCTGGTTTGAGTGCTCAGGAGTTTTATTTACTACGTCATGTAATTCTTTTGACCGGTATGTTTATAATGTCTTTAATACTCGGTGTCAGTTTTGAAACATATTCTTCATGGTTTGGAATGAGTCACGTATTCTCACAAAATACTTGGTTAGTTGAAAAGTTCTACCATCATATCTGTATTGTACGTTGTATTGATTGAAATGAATTGATTATGGATTTATCGCAAGCTGAGATAAAATGTGTAAAAATACAAAATGATCTCCTTCTTGTAAAGCTGTATTCTGAACTGCTTCTACTTCAGTCGTTAACGGTCCTCACACCTTTATCGTTGCTGCTCAGTACTAAAATTAAGTTTATACTTCCTGATATATGTTAAAAAGACTTTTCAGATCGAAATTTATGTGTTCATGTTTAACCGCAATACTTGTCTTGTGCATTGTACTTGTCTGAAAGTGTCACTTATATAATGAACCGGTTTTATAAAAAATTACCTAATCGTCATGGATTACTTCTATCTTCGGATTTTATTCTTTTTAATTAACGTGGTTTAAATATAAATTTAGAGTTAAGCCTGAACTTTTAAGATGATAGTGAAATAGTTATGATCTTAATGTCTAGAAAATTGTTTGTTCACTTCTGTTGGTCAACGTTTTCATTCGTATTTAGATTTTGAATTTACTGAAACGTATATATATATGAAGAAATTTCTCATATAAATTACGAGATAGTTCAAACGTTGGCACAGAACGACGATAGAATGTTCATCATTGTATGCATTTATTCAGATAACTTAGGGAGTTTCATCGTTTAACAGTATCTTCGAAAAGGCTATTATAACTCATTTTCCAGGAAGCGCTTTACGCAACTTTCTTTTTGTATGTAAAGGCCAATTTTAATGCGTAGTTGTTCAAACGAATTGGTTATACGGGGTTCTAACCAATAACTCTGTAGTTGGACGTTTTATTAAAACGTCCAACTTTTAATTATTAGAAAATCATTCAACAAGAAGCTACTGAATACAGTGAATACTCGCCACATTTCATGAAGTGAACTACTCCGGACAAAGTCGTACAACTTTATGTTTTATGTTTGATACTCTCACTTTCAGAGCAACTTGAGGTTAAACACTTGAATATTCTGAAACGACAATGAAATGTTTCTCTAATATTTATTAGTTTTAGGAAAATATAATTTTTTAGAGTTATACTTTACTCTTTATCGTTTCTTTACTTTTCTTTTTAAAACAGTTGATGAGCCGGATACGTTGCCTACCTTGGGTTTAAATGTCATTCGTGCTTCAAGATGTATGAACAATGGTAGTAATAATAATCGTAATAGAGTAGATCATTCGAATGCTGTTGCTAATCTATTGAAAGATGGGACTCAGAATTCTGTTCTTTCATCAGAAGGTGAACCGCCCACAGTGACCTTTGATTTAGCATGTTTAGCTTGTGGACTAAAAGCTCTTCGATCTATGTGTCCTTATCGAATTGCAAGTTTATTCTGCAGTCATTTACGAAATAGTTCAATACTAAATCAAACATTCATACTGGAAATGCATAAAAAATATTTATTAGCTCTTAAAGATTTGCAAACATTTCCTTCTTCACAAATCACCGCTGATATTGTCAATAATGGCATTACCAATAATAATAATAATAATGACACAACTAGCAGTTTCGATAGTAATGGTACTGGCAACAGTAAAAACAATAACAACACTAATAATAAGCATTCCTTGCTTGAAAAAATACCGGTAAACAAAAAAAGTATCCTGGAACAATTGTTTGATAGTGCTTGAAAAGAAACATCTAATACCAAATTTCCGTTAATTCACTTTGTAATGTAACGAGAGTTTGGTTTGTAAGATATATTATCTGTGGAAATGATCTCTAAACTAATTGCTAATTTTAGAAAGCTGGATACTCTTGAATTCCCAGTGTTGTTGATACAATTTTTCTAAAAATTGCTATTTATCTCTTTAATAAGTAACTTCACAATCCCTTAATGTTTGTTTATCAGTAACGATGATGTCATTCTCAATGTTATCAATATTATTCCTCTTTCTTGGAGCTTGTACTGTTTTGTTTTACTGTCTTCAAAATTTAGTTTTCAGTGTTATTCTTTATTAGACTAATACTACTCACTAAACAAAAATGTACACAAATTGTGATGATACTGTCTATGATATAATCAAATTATTGATGATGTCATTACTGTCATATTACTACTACTACTACTCATACTATGTATGTTATTATGCCTTACTAATAAAACAAATTTTTTCAAACAATAAAATTTTATTTAGTCCTTTTTCCATCTGTTTATTTTTTTTTTAACCATCACTGATCTTGACAGTTTCACAGGTTTGTGGACTGATCAGATTTCAAATATATGATATACAACAATTCCATGTTGTTGCTTAAATCAATTACTCAGAGCCATAGTATCAAGAACTTGAATGGTTGGTTAAATTAATTTGTTTGTCCACATTTGGGTCATATACACATCACATAACTTTGAGATTATTTGTGTACTAGATTGATGCTCCAATTTTTACAACAGTTATGACTGGGCTAAGTGTATGTGTGTATTCCCTGACACATCCTGTATTCATTGTGTCAGTGTGACTCATGCTTAATCTTAGCCCAAAGTCTGACTAAGATCAAACTTTCTACTAAATCACATGATTGCTGTGCGGTATTAAAAAATATGTCCGTGATTGGTTTCGTTTCAACAGTCAATGGGGGAGATAGAAATTATTGATTGGACGTCCACTAAACTTATTGTCTCACAATAAATGTGACCTTAGATTTTGAGCTGTGGAAATTATGAATCTGTATTAAGTGATGTCTAAGAAATTCTCACTATTTAGAATAATTCAACTCGGATTAGCATTACAAATAGTGAATCTAAAGAAGATTAACAGCCAAAATATATTAAGATATAAAGTAGTATAGTAAGAAATAAATATGTTGACCAAGAAAATGTCCTAGATTTGAATTGAATAAAATCATGACTAACATTTTTACACGAGTCCAGTGAAAATCCCTACAGTTTCTCAAACAAAATCGATGTAACCTAAGTAAGTTGGATATACAACTTTCGACAGCTAGAATTTGAATTTTATTCCTGCTTTTATCACATTTTTGGTAGCTGTGTGGTATTAGTAGTCTACAAGGTAGATGTAACTCAGTGTCCTGTAGAGCTTGATCATGCTTATTTTTGATCTACTTAAATATCATATCTTCTATTTTCGTGATTGACCTATCTACGGGACATTTTCCTTACTCTTTGTTAGATAAGGAGTTACTTGGATGAGAAACGAAGTTATCTTAAATGATCACCATTTCAATACCTATAGGCTTCATTTGTGAAATTATGTATGAAATCTTAGTGTATGCACACATTATCTGTATTATGAGCAGGAATATTTTAAACGTTTCATATATGGAGCGAATTCCTGCAGGATACAGATTCCATCATATTTTAGGTTGTAACACATTCATAGTTCTAATCGAAGTTATATGGTCATTATTTTTTGTACTATGTTCTTTCTGTTTATCAGTCGATCTACAGGCACACAATCAACTTGTTTATATAACAGATACTATACGAAACGGAATTAAGAATTAGATTGTTTTTTCGTATTGTATATGTCGATTGTTACCTATATCATTACAAATAAATAAAGAATATAATGATTTGAATGTTCATGACCGACCTATAGATAGAATGATCTCTTATGAAGAGATTCATGACTTATTTTTGTCCCATGTAATAGTTTTTAGCAGGATACTTTGTACTTAAGGTTTATGCTTGCCAAAAAACACAAGGTTATACATTACAGAAATACCTTGTATTGAAGTGTATGTTGCTTGTTGCATTGAAAAAAATCGAGCTATAATTTATTAATCATAATTTTGGATTCCGCTCCATGTAATTCTAGGTGGTTACTAGTCATAACATATTAAATACTTATCAAGGTCTAGCATACAAAGTTTCAGTAACTGACGTCCAATAATGCTGATATTTTGGGAGGCATATTTTTGAGTAATAAATTTTATAATCATTAGAAACTTTGGACTAATTTCTACCCTAGGTTGTACTCAACTTTAATAGTACATGGTGCAGATATGTTTAATGGACCAATTTTAATGCTCTCACATACCATAAGATCGATTCAATATTCGAATGCATCCCTAACTAGATGCGGAGCTATCTACTGTTTTGTTTTAACGTGAAGGCTTATATAGATATTTTGTAATCAAAACTGAAGAAAGTTGGATGTGGCTTTAGATCAGAAACCTAATAACTGAAGTAAAATTCTTTAAACGAAATGCCTTCTATACTAAAATAATTTTACTATTCTCATATATGTTGATAATATTTGGATAATATTTACAATGACCACTGAAGGATTGATATTTCGCAAAACTATTTTTCGTATGAGTATATATATCATACTGACTGTATTAGTATGGTGATGATAAATCAGTTTACCATATGGAGTATCAATATTGGCATTCGCATTCTCTTACAAATGAACAAAGACAAAACAAAATATTTTAAACATGATACTCTTAAATTATGCTTTTAATGTGAATTAAACAGAACAGAAAAAAAGACAGTGAGACGTTTTCTATCGGTTACAAGCTGAAAAGCTGAGTCAGAATGTGCTGAATACTATTTCGAAATATAAATTGGCTATTGTGAAAAGTGAAAGTAGATATCGCTCTGACTTATTTTACAGTATCCCTCCAATTTTATACGAAGTTGAACCAGTAAACTTGAACTTTCCTAGTATACACGAAGCCGATGAGCTAAACACCAAGTATCGAAAGTAAAAAACACTCTTCAAACTTATGAAATCTCCATGGACCATCTCTTTCAATGATGATTTAATGCTTACCTATGATTTGGTCCAAGTTCGATTTCATCTATGTTAAACTGGATCTGGAATTTTGAGTATACAATGAATGAACATGGACAGTGCCATTCAACTTTAGTGAAATCCCACACTGATTTGAGAACCTAATACTTTTAATGATTGATTGATAATATCAATGCGTAAAAACATCAACCCCCATAACTCTAATTGGAAAATATTTATTGAGAATTTTACTCGATATTGGTAAAGACATGTTTTACAGATGATATTCTGATGGCTTCTACATCGTATTAGAAAAACGGAGATGCGGTTAGTTTGTGTCACAGAGATATAGATGTAGGATATCTTCGGTACATAACGGTCCAACAAATATCCTTGAGCAGAGTTCTACGGTCTATCCGACTCAATTGCTTGAGACATCTTTCGCAAGTGAAGCAGTTTGCTTTATCAGATATGGACACGATAGAAGGCAATGGCTACTCTGCTTTAATGCCAATAATTTCATGGCTTAAATAAGTCTCTGTTCATTCCATTCTCAAGTAAACAGTACCTTCTAAATAGGATGATCCTCGGTGTTACACTAATTTATCTTTTTTCTTTGTGCATGATACTATCATTTCATTTCATAGGGCGTATATTTGGCTCCCTCATCTGCGGCAATTTTTTCATCATTCTCCCCCCACCTGTTTTGCTGGTCTAGATCCCATGTAGTTATAATACCTTCTTTAGCACTGAGTACTTGCTCTGGTTTACGACATATTTAGTCAAGTGTATTAGTTTTATCACCTAGTTCTTTCATATCAACTTCTCTTGCATATGGTTCTGAAATAGTTTCCAGGTCTTCAACCTATTTCCTAGTGTCACCTTTTGTGTTTAACTTTGTGTATTCAGTCTGTCCCATGGCTCACTCCGCTTTTGTTTGGTTGTTGTTGCTTGCATGCCTCTTGGTTTTCCTACATTGGATCTCGCTTAGATTATCTATAGAGATTCATTCTTTATTCTGGTATTTCTTGGTTATCAGTAATGTGGCCAAGTGGAAACAGACTAACTTTTCTTTTGCAATTGTGGGAGGAAATGTCACGACTAATAACCATCTTTCACCATTCTTCATCTATATTGTCCTATGATACGTTTGTGCCCATTGATGTCCAACCGCCACCAGAATGGTTAGGTCCTTTCCGGGTCATTCTTCAACAATGGACTGTAGAATCCTATAAAACTGATCGTTATCGTCTTTGGCAAGTAGAACTGGACGACATTAATCGAAATCACTTTGCTTTGAAGGACAGTTTGATGCTTTAGATTCCACGATATTCCCATAGTATAAGCGCTTCTTTGAAATGCATCGGTGCACCTCTTGTGTGTGTACGGAGTTTTTACTTTCATGAAAATAATATAAGAACACCTGTACTGAGGCTAGTTTTTACTAACAGATAGTATCTATTGAATTTCGTGGGTTCTAAGAAGACAGTGCTGTAACTCTTAATTTGCAAGGATATTTGAATGACCCTCTTGATCTCCCATATTTTTCGAATAATCCATTTCCCTAAGTTTATTGCCACCCTGGTAGTCTGGAACAGCAGCAGCCCTTTGGTTTCTGGCGACTCTCGGCTTTCAACATTCAGCAACCTAACTATATTATATCAAAGACTTTTAAAATAGAGTCTAATTAGTATTCATCGACTAGTGATTCTATAAAAGGTCATTTTCTACGAGATGGTGTTTCTAACCCTTCAGCATTCTATCCCTCTTTACCCGGGATAAGGGCGAACAAAAACTCCACAAGGGCTCTTCGTCGAGTTTTTTATTTCTACTAAGTAGATTGATATTATATTGATTGCTGAACGAAATGCTGTACCCAAGACAAATAGCTTTTTAAACATTAAATATTGATCCTGACCTTATTATTT